GAACTTTTATTCGAATAAATAAAATAAACAACCAAATATTACATACTAATATAACACTAAAAAAATCTAATAAAATAAAAAAAATGAAGTTCATAAGTTAAAAATGTAAATATTAAATGTATTCTTTCGTAGCATACCTATGTACCTGCCTATTGCATTTAATCCAATATTAGTCACATAATTAATTTATATTTTAAGTTAAGAAAATGCGACGTCTTATGCAACGTCAAACAGCAATAATGATTTCCTAACTAAAATACAAGGATAATTCAACGGTAAAGAAGTAAATCCAAACACAAAAAAAAATATCCATATTCCATATCAATATCTGTTCAGAATCTAATATTATTTTATAATATTTTATTTTATTATAGGGCAACTGATAACAGCCGCACACCGGCCGCCATCTTGTGCGCCACACAAAGTTGCTGACATACCTTGTTATTTTATCATGGATAATATGGTTGTGAAATTGTGAAGCTTAAAGAGTATAGTAGATTTTACAGCAGCACACAGCGCTCTCTGGGTGATAAATTGTATGACTACATTAAAAAATATATTATTCTAAATTGTTGTCATATTTATTGTTTTTCAATGATTATACAAAAGTAAAATACAGTAATACAATAATATTTATGTTTGTATATACGAATATTATAGGTATGCAATAAATAAGCATTCTGCAGGTTTATAGTTCTCGCTCAAGTATTTGTATGTATATATCTATAGAGATATTAATAATTTGGATTCCCAAGTAGACTTAATATCTCTCTCCTTAAAGTGTGAAGCACAAACTCTGTAACTTTTTTTAAGAACAGTTTTTAACCCTTCACTGCATGATTTTTTATTAAGTAATAAAAAAAATGTTTTCTAATAGATTAAAACCTGTAGAATCCATTAAAATTATTAAAAAAATTCAGTTATAAAATGTAAGTACTCAATTTGACTCAATTTTGAAAAATGCATGTGTGCACTTCTATGCACTATCGACAAACAATAATTATTACGTCTCAAATATTGAAATGCATGCATGCACTTCCATGCGTCATTATTATATTATGCAATTTTAAAATTTATATAATATTTATTGATGAAAAGCAATATTATAAAATAAAATTATTAAGTACATGATTATATTTTTTGAACACAAATTAAATTAAAAAAAAAAAATTCTGAAAATAATAAAAAATAATACAAATTCAGTTAGGTATAATGAAATAAATCGAAGCAATTTCTTTCTTTATTACAACATAAAAAAACATCGCATTTAGTACACTTAGCGAATGATTGAAATTTACATTTTGGTAGTTTACATACGCGTCGAATTTTCTCAAATTGTATTCTGTGTTGATGCCCATCCAAACGTATTTGGGTTGATGGAATAATTGCAGTTGGTGTCCTTTTTTTTCTTTTTTCAAGCTCCTCCAACATTTGTTTTTCCAACGATTCCTTTGTTTTTCTGCCTTTTTTTTTTATTTCCATTTCTGTTTGACAAAGTTCCACAGCTAATTGCTCTCGAAATTGAGCTAGTTTCATTGGTTTTTTTGTAACTTTTTTATACAACATCCACGCGTTTACAATCGACATATCAACTAAATGGTAAAAAATTTTCATGTACCATTTCTTAGACCTCATTATTATTCTATAGCGCCCAATCATAGAATCCATAAGGTCAACCCCACCCATATGTTTATTGTAAACTTCAATGATTTTCGGCCTAGGTACAATAACGGTGGTCTTTTTTTTTTTGTCAAATCTACTCACTACATTTTTTTCGAGTTCGCCTACAAAAGTTGAGGATACGTGTACTACCTTGTTGTCTTTCCATGCAACAGCTGAAATAGGGACATCTTCAACCACTGTGAAACACTCTTCAGAATATCCACGATCTTTTTTCATCAATAAACGATCATCTGTCAAACAGACGTTTGGAAAACGATTACGTCTAAATGTGCCAACTGTGTGAATGCCTTTTTTTTCTAGATATATCATAACTGGTAATGAGGTATAGTAATTATCGAAAAATAACTTATGGTGCACGTTTTCCGGTACCATTCTAGTCATTCTCACAACAATGTTGCCTGTAGCTCCAAAATCTGGTTCATGGTGTATAATTCGTTCGTCTTCCTTATTTTCATTTCCCGTGTAAATTTCAAAGTTATAACCGTAGCCAGAAACACCACATAAAACAAATAATTTGTACCCCCATTTATGAGGCTTCAGAGGGAGATACTGTTTGAGATATGATACAGCTTTAGTTGGACACAATTGCTCATCTAATGATAAGTTTTCTTCGACAGGTACAGAGCTAAACTTTTTATTGAGTTTATCAATAAGTGGCCGAACTTTAAAAACCCTGTCACGATTTGGATTATCTCTAGGTAAATCTAAAGTATTGTCGTTAAAATGCATATACCGCCTAATATTTTCAAACACATTTACACTCATGCAATTTCTTATTATTTTATTATGAGTATTTTCTGACCAATATGACCTCGTATTTGGTAGATGGACAATTGACATCATTGTAATTATGCCCAAAAAATGTCGTACGTCGTTTATCGTTATTTTATTTGGTTTTTCGGGATTTTGTTGAGTACTATAAAGTGTAGACTGTTCGGCAATATGTGCTAATAACTCGTTATCAAAAAAATAACAAAAAAATTCTTTAGGTGATTTCATTTCTTTTATTTCGTCAGGCATTGGCTTTTCCCCAAAAAATTTTATAAACTCGGGATTCTGTGAAAAATTTCCTTTTCTCCAAATCGGGTCCAACTTTTTTATTTTTGGTATATTTTTTGTTTTAGGATTATTAGAAACAATTAGTTTTCTTGTGGATCTACGGTTTTTACTTATAGGTATTTGTGAAACAAATGACGAAGCTGGTGAAACAGATGCTGTTGGCAAAGATTGTACATCTGATGGAATTTGAATGACGATAGGGGATTGTGACGTTGAAGAACCGAAATTAGTTATATTTTCTTCAGAAAAATACACGGGATAATTCAGTATATTATCAGAATCGTCTATAGCTTCATTTAAAATGCGGTCGTCATTTTCAAATAATTCCTAATTATAAAATAAAAAATCCTAAATATAATAAAATACTAATACCTCATAAAAATAATAATAAGTAACTTACGGGCAATTCAAAATTTTCGTCATCACTTAGACCAATATCAGCAAACTCATCGTCGCTTTCAATAGGTATACTTAAAATTCGTTGAATTTCTGATTCATTATTCACTAAATTATCACACATTTTGATTTTTTAAATAATAAATAATTCAAAAAAAATACTATCATAAAAATATAAATATCGACGGAGTCGTGAGTAGTAATAACACTAATAACTGTTGGTACCAATATTGCATGGAAGTGCACCAATGCATTAGAACAAAATACGTAATTTTACAGTATTCAATATAAAATTATTATCTTGGTATTTGTATAATCATAAATAATAATATATATGAAGTATGATGATATTTTTTTGGATTTCCCACCGACTTTATTTTCGTCACAACACACATTACAACATTGACTGATAACGGATATTTCATAACGTTACTCGGTGGATTTTATTTTAGGTATATGGAATACGTGGTACACTCTAGCGATGAAATTCAATTCTAAACTGCTTTATCATATTATAGATTTTATTTATCAATATAATTATTATCAATAAAAATCATATTACGCTTACTATAACCATCGAAACAACGCAGTGCACCAGTGCCCTTGCATGCAGTGAAGGGTTAATACATTTTAACATTTATTTCTTTCCTCTGTGCTTTTAGGGACCCCAAAAGTTGTTTTTGAAGCTTCATTTGGATATTTCACACAACAATTAGCCATACTGATATATTTTTTAAACTTAAATATTTTGACTCAGAGAATAGGAAATAAATTCTAAATCAAAATAATAATGTTTCAATTCGTGTTGAACACGTCAATTTACGCGGAAAAGCTAACTGTGTACAACAAAAATAAAAATGCTTCAATAGTTTTATCATATTTATTCAATGGATATATACAGTGGAGTACGTGGGATTTTTCAATGGGGGGGGGACTTGACAGTTAATTACAATTTTATTTTTATTTTGTCCATTCTAATAATTTAAGACGTTTATGTGAGAAAATTTTAACAGAATCGCAGTTAATTTGTAGTTAAAAACTTGATTAATATTTTTTAAAAATGTAATAATAATACTTCAATAGCGGGGGGGGGGTATTCAGCCCGTTAGCCCCCCATCTATGCGTACGCCACTGTATATATACTTAAACCATTAACGGCCAAAGTTGCGTGTACGCAACATTAATTAAAAACAATTTTTTGTGCTGGATTACAATTTTTTTTTAAATTCAACTGTGATACTATGTGATTAATAATACACCAACAGATGAATAAAAAATATGAATACCGGTTTCTCATGTATATGATTGATATTATAAACGACAGAATTTAGACATTATTGATATAATATTATACATTTTTGAGAAATTGAAAAATATATAAATTTGTGTTTTAAAAGTTCAAACTGTGTAAAAATCGTTATTTTCAAAAGGTATTCGATGTGTTTTGAGCGAAAATTTTAAGTTCAAAGTTTATGTTGCGTACACGCAACGTTGGCGGTTTGTAGCATATAAATTCCAGTACCGGTCGTTTTGTGATTTTGGCGGAAGCGAGAACGCGTTGTTCCCTCGTACATTGTTGTTTCTGACAACAGCTATTATTATAATAATTTATAAATATACCAATATCCAATACCGAGTAATTGAGATTATAGACACGATTTAGTTGACGACGTTATCGCGTTTGTTGGTAAATCTGTTTGGTCATTGCAACTTATTTTTGTAATTCTATTTTCTATATCTGTTTTGTTTCTACAATAATTGGTCTGGTCAATCGCTATAAGTCTGCCTAAGTAAGTTTTATTTTTTTTAATTATTCATTGGTAGGTACGTTTATTTACATTTTAGTATTTATTATTATAGAAATGAGTGAGTTCAAAAGGTTAAAAACATCGGAAGAGATACTGGAGTTTTTAGATAATGTAGACGTGAGTGATGATGAACCCACTGATATTATTATAATTCCCCCAGATGTCGATTGTCTCACTGATGAGGAAAATGTAGACCATAATGCAATTGTAATAAATGACGATACAAATGTACTCAGTAGTGACATATGTGGTACATTTGAAGTTTTAAATCATAATTTTGGAATGGCTGGAACTTCAAATGTACTCACAACCGCCAGAAAATCCTAGTAAAAAAAAAAAAAAAAATTGTAATATAAAACAAAATTATACGCCAATATGGAAATCTAAAGCAAATCCCGTGTATTCATCATTTCCCGAAAACGTCGAAAAAGAAAATATAATTGAGACTTATGAAGGAATTGATCCACTCAAATGTTTTTCTTTATTTTGCAACGACACAGTCTTGCAATTAATTATTGATTTCAGTATGAAATACGCGAAAGATCAAAATAGACACGATTTTTTTATTGAAAAGTCTGAACTTTTAAAATTCCTAGGGATTATGATACTAACAGGATACCATACTTTACCCCAAATGGACTGCTACTGGAGTAAAGATGAAGATAAAGAAGTAACTTTAGTAAGAAATACAATGTCAAGAAATAAATTTCGTTCCATAAAAAAAAATTTGCATTTAGCTGATAATCATAATCTCAACCCCTTAGATAAATTTTCAAAGTTGCGTCCTTTTTTCGATTTATTGAATCAAAAGTTTGATCAGTTTGGTATTTTTGCTCATAATTTGTCAATAGACGAAGAAATGGTACCATACTTTGGTCGCCATTCTTGTAAGATGTTTATTAGAGGAAAACCAGTTCGTTTTGGCTTCAAGTTATGGTGCTTAACTTCTGAAAATGGTTACTTATTTCAGTTTTCACCTTATGGTGGTGCTAGTACCAAACGAATAGAAGGTTTGCCATTAGGCTCAGAAGTTGTATTCAATCTTTTGGAGTCTGTTGAAAATCCAAACTTGCATAAAATATTTTTCGACAACTTTTTTACTAGTTATTCTCTAATGGCTATGCTAAGAGAAAAAGGATTCTTTGCGCAGTTCGATGGAATGACAATTCAGTTGTGACGGTCTTGACTAACGTTGGTACAATTAATCCATTAGTAATCGCAAAACGTTATAATAGAAAAGAAAAAAAAACTGTCAATGTCCAGCAACCTAACGTAATTCAGGATTACAATAAAAACATGGGTGGCGTTGATCTGCATGATAATGGTATAGCAAATTACAGGATTAGAGTCAAAGGGAAAAAATGGCGGTGGCCACTTTTTAGCAACGCAGTAGACAGTGCAGTGGTCAATTCATGGAAGTTTTATAATTTGGTAAATGGTGAAAAAAGTTCACAATTGGCCTACAGATCAAAACTTGTTTTGAGTTTGTTAAAATCATCATCTAAAAAATCAAATGAAGAAACTATCAATGAGTTTGCAGTATCCATTACCAACACAAATTTGGGTCGGCCTTCGAAAAATGCTCTACCTACAGCTATAAGAAAGGACAATATTGGTCATCTCATTATTCGAAAAAATGAAAGTGTATGTGGTTGCACTGTACAACCGATTACTTTTGTAAGAGGTTATGTTACTTTTAAGAAACACTTGGTTTTGATTATGCAGTTGGTTTACATCATTGGTTGCTGCTTCCATTGCGACACTCAGTTCCACAGATCTTTTAAAATTCAAGGAAGCTTCCGACAGTAACCTCTTCTGAATATTTTGGTCCTTGATACCCCAAACTAATTGATCTCTTAAGGCATCCTCCAAATGAGTGCCAAACCCACAAAATTCTGACATTTTCTTTAACACTGCAACGAATTGAATAATTGTTTCGTTGCCCTGTCTCCGTTCCTTAAATTTGAAACGTTCGGTGACCACATTCGGCTTCGGATTCATGTATTCCGATAACAAGGTTTTAAGATTATCATAAGATTTATCCAATGGTTTAACAGGTAAACACAAATCCCGTAATAAAGAATACCCTTCATTACCAATCAGGGTTAAAAATAATAATTTTTTTTTATGTGTATTTACTTCATTAAGCTGAATATACAGCTCAAAACGTTCAACCCATCCGTTGAAATCGTCTTCCTTCAATTTTAATTCATTGACATGACCGACCATGCTACCCTTATTAGCCATGGTAACCACGTTTTTAGATTTCACAAGCCGTATCTGACCCGATTACATGACTAAAAAAAACAAGTAATTTGCACGCACGTTTCACTACTTCGTCGCCAATTGTAATGTCGAGGCCCACATTAATAAACGGCAACACAACATTATAATTAAAAGAAATTTAATGTATACAAAACATGAAAGTTACATTATATATTCTTCTGTATTAGGAAAAATTAAAGTAATCCGTTAGACAATTTAAAACCAAGTGTTTCTTAAAAGTAACATAACCTCTTACAAAAGTAATCGGTTGTACAGTGCAACCACATACACTACAAAGAAGATGTCGCAATTGTCAATCACAAACAATTTATTCATAAAAAAAATAAAAATAAACATTTTTTAAAAACACACTTTTCAAAATAAAACATATTAAAAAAAAATATATTAAATAATCCAAAAAAATAATGAAAAATTTAAAAGTGTGTGGTACTCTTACACTTGACATATTAAACAAGATTAAACAAAGAAGTGAATGTGAGACTTAGCTCGGCTTTAAATGTTTTGTATGATGCACCACACACTTTTAAATTTTTCATTATTTTTTTGGATTATTTAATATATTTTTTTTTAAATATGTTTTATTTTGAAAAGTGTGTTTTTAAAAAATTTTTATTTTTATTTTTTTATTTTCTACTTTTTAGTTAAAAGTAATTATAATTATTATTATAATAGTTTTAAAACCCATGGAAACCATTTATAAACAAAAAAATCGTACCTGTACTTCCTCTGAGATGACTTTGCACACTCGTCTTCGCCGACCTGTAGGTCCGGGTCCCAAAATGACAACGGATTATTGTATTGTCATCTAAGACCAAGGTCTATACCAATTTTCAGAATTTTTCATCTTCAAAAAGTGCCTCAAATCGAGCGCGCAAGATTTGATCACAGACGGACGTGAAAGCGAACTTAAAAATGACCTGGAGGTCCGGGTCCCAAAATGACAACGGATTATTGTATTGTCATCCAAGACCAAGGTCTATACCAATTTTCAGAATTTTTCATCTTCAAAAAGTGCCTCAAATCGAGCGCGCAAGATTTGATCACAGACGGACGTGAAAGCGAACTTAAGAAAAGTGTTAATTAAAAAAGTGCAATGTTTTTCTACATCCAGATTGTTTTCAAGAATTCCATGAAAAGTAAAAAAAGTATCAAATATTTATTGTTCATGTTTCAATAAATACGTAATACATTTTTTTTTCAATATAATAATAATACTATTAAATGTATAATTAATTCAGAATAAATAAATAATTTAACAGTTTGAATAAATTCGTTGTATTTAGTTATTTTTTAATACACATTAAGCCAACGTTGCGTCAGCGCAACATTTTCTTACGCAAAATTGGGTAGACCAAAAATTTTTTTTTTTCCCGTTATAAAATTACGTTACTTAGCAAATACCCATCATTATAATAGTAGGTTTTCGATATTTAATATGTTGGCCGTTAATGGGTTAAATTATGATATAGTATGTCATATATTATAGTATGCATTTTAATATATTATATTATATTATACATTGTAGGTTTAAACAAATTTATTACAATTACATGTATATAATATATTTACAAGTTACAACTACCTAGGTACATATATACAAAAATAAAAATGTGTATTGTATAATATTAAGTAGGTACTTATACGGTAGATACGGTAATTATAAATGTTTTAGAATTGATAATTTCCTATTTTTACGTTTAGTTTCAGATAACATTGTTCTATTTAAAAATTTAACACTAGAAAAAATTCTAAAACGAATAAATAATTTCATAAGAAATTGCTTATTAAATAACTCACATGGATGATTAAAACGTACATTACATAGAAAATCATTTAAAAGATAACCAACATTATCTCTTATGGCAATTATTGGAAACTGTTCAATAAAAATATTTTCTAACTTAAGTATATAATTATAAAAATCATTGTGGGGCATTAGTAATTTACCAAAATTAGAGTCATTGTTTGAAGAATATGATTTAAAAAAAGATAATAGAAACGATTCGTCTATAGTTTTTTGGCAATTTGCATAGTCCACACAAACTTGACATGAATGGATTTCTAAACATTTCTTCATCAAATATCCACATACGTAAGTATAAGCATTAGCCTCTGGAATATTCAGTTTTCTGTAATCCACTGTACCAACTTGTAAGGATTTGAACTTAAATATATGTTTTTCCTCAGGAGCAAGCACATTCATTATTTTGTTATTGGGCTTGTCATTCATATGGCCTAGAACTTGGTCCAGATCTTCAATGCAATTAGCCCCAGGTGAATGTTTGAAGTACTGAAGACAAAATATTTTTTTAAAAGACTGAATGAATTGAACTGGAGTAGGATTTTTATTGTTGCCATGTTGCTGCCGAAAAGTACCAAACAAATTTTCCAGGGAATCTTGGTTTAAACGTCCAGTACAAATTGAAAAGCCTGGCTTATTGGTCGGATTTAAAGAATGCCAAAGCATTCTTAATCCGGAAATAGAAACCAGCCAACCATTTATAAAGTTTGTGCGTTTTGTTACATCAGACTTATCAATTTTGTTTATAACCTTCATGTTTTTAAACATTTCAGTCATTTTACTCAAATGGTCTGTCTGAGGTGCTGTGTTTGTAAAAGGCTGGTTGTAAATTTTACCATTTGGGATATCTGTGGAATTGAATATATCAAATAACTTATCCATGTTATTGATAAAATATATGGTACTTTGTGCATCAACCGGTAATAGCCCGCAATTTAATGCTGTGGACATACCAGCAGCAACACTTGCACTAAAGACTTGGGCTGCTAAACGAACTTTCATCTTATCGAATGGACCGGGGTGAATATGAAAGTAAGTTAGTTTTGGTGCCATTCGAAGATTACATTTATTATCATAGTTGTAAAAGATATCCAAATATTTTTTGTCCACCACTTCATCATTGATTTCTATCATATGTTTAAAAAACATGTTCCTTGTTGACTTTAATAAGTGAGGTGGGTCAAAAATATAAATCACTTTTTCTCCATCCACTTCAAAAAATGGTTCTTCAGGAGTGACATGATTGGAATTGGAAAATTTAATAAAATTTGAACCTTGATCAGTGATGAATGATTTCACATTCAGTTTAATACTTCGAAGTCTGCGTATAGTTGAAAAAATTATGAGGTTCAGATCAGTGCCGGAACAGCTGTTGGAAACAAGATAATATGCAATAGGCTGCTTCCAATTGCTGTTGATTCCTCTGATCATTAGAACAAGAGCATATTTAGCTGGCTCGTAAGTTCTAAATGCACCAGATTGGTTAAAGCCAATAATTTGGTCTTTAGAAACATTGTAAAACAAATTTGTTTTCAAAGACATTTCGTCTGCACATAAAAAGCAATCTAAGGCTTCAGGTTTAAAGGTGCTGATTTTGAATTCTAAGAAGTCAAATAGAAAATCATTTAGTCCGGGTTGTAAATCATATTGCTCAGTGACTCTCCTTAAGGTCCGAACAGTTGGAAGAGACAATGATTTTTGAAGAAAATTAAACACACCGGGGCTGATGAAATAAATTGTTAGTGCAAATTGCTTTATCTGCTTGGAATATCGTTGGCCGCGCTGTGACTTGTCTTTGTTTTGAAAATTATTCTCTACTATTAAGAAAATTGATGGTGGTAAGTGTTGTTTACAAACTTGCATGCAGTATTCAATTGTGGTTGTATGTTGTAGTTGATTTTTTAATTCTGTTACAGTGTTGAGAGCATTGGTAAGTCTATGTCGAAGTACCCGTTTTCGTGGTGTTCCTGAAGACAAAAAGTTTGGTGTTTGAACACTTGACGAAGATGTTTCAACAGAGGTAGAAGCGTCATATGAATCAACACTGATTGAACCTAAAACAAAGAATAATAGATTATTAATTATTATAATAGGATTAGGCTGATCTGCAAATACAGTAGAAACATTTAAAATAAGCTGTAACATACGTAGTATTGAACAAGATTGAGAAGCAAGAGGTGTCGAACAAGATGGAGGGTCGTCAATTGCAAATTGGTCATTTAACGGTATCAATTCTTCACTATTATGTAAGGATGATATTTCATTTTCTACAATGTTACCTAGTTAAAAAAAAATAATAATTACAAATTACTTAATTTTTACTTTCTAATTAGGTAGTGACCAGCTTTGCACAACGCTAGCCAGTGTACACTAGGTATACAAGTAAACAATGAATAATGATGCTTACCTTTAAACAACGTTGGTATTGCGTTAATTGAGAGCCTTGACTTTTCAGCATTTATGTATATAATTTTATCCTCAAAATGTAAGGAACATATTCTATAGTTTTTGTACAAAACTATAGGTTCAATAGAAGGTAAATTTATTGGACCACATTTTTCAATCCAAACGTCACATCTAAATTTGGTTAAAACAAATATATGTATAATATTAAATACAATACACATAGAAATAAAATAGCATTTGATGAATTTGCTTTTTGATTTAACTTCCAATAACTAATTAATATTGCTTACCTTGCAAGATCCTTCGGAAATCTATGGAATTTTGTTCCTTCAATTTTTGAGGAAGAAATGCTGGTGCAGTACAGCAAGCAACATCTATTTCCTCCCGAATACATTTAAAAAACAAAAATTATGATTAATTTGATTTAATTTCTTAATTAATAAAATAATTAAAATATTAATTTCAAATAAGAGCGCAAAAGTCAAACTGATGTTTTGTAAACAATCGCAGATATATGGACAGCTGATGTCGAAAGTTAGTAAACAAACCCTTATCAGTGTGACCAGACAGAAAGAATTTTACATTTTTATTATATACATGGATACACTGATATTCCACAAAGTTGAACAGATTTTTGAGTGCTCAGCTTACTCTCCGTTCGACACCAAGACGGTGACGTGAGACGACGGGTCCTTCGACCTCCAATGGGGATTCCCGCGTCGACAACTCAATGTTCGTTCGAGTTAGCGAAAAACACGGCAACACGCACCCTGACGACCGAAGTCCGATATAATAATGCGGCGGCGATACACAATAGTTGGTTCCTCACGAGCAACGTGGTATAGAACGGGCGTTCACGGATTCACGCCACCAAAAACCGACACACGGTGGTGTCGTCAACTTACACAATCCACGAGAGGTCGTAAAAACTGAAAAGGCCGCGCGAACGGCGTCGACACATACGAACCACACACGGCGATGACAGACAGGTCACCGACACACCAACGGCGGACACGTATGGGGCGCATCCTCAATGACCGGAGACACTAAAATTGGTCGAACAGGACAACGACGCTTGGAAACGGCCGGCGTAAGCACTCGTACACACCACACCACGCACCGACCGCGAAGACTGACTGGTGCGTATATTTTAAGTGTCGCGGAATGTCAAAGTCGTGGCTGCGATTACGACGACGCTAGTGACAAAGGTCGTCCAATCGGTCTTAATCTGGCTGGACTTTGACCCGGTATCGCCTTTGGTGCAAATCGTCGGGCTCGAAATTGTGCGGTTTTGTTTGTAAGCCCTACGTCCCGCAAGTCACAACACCCACGACATGTATATAACGTACTTATTGAGCACACATAGCTAGTAATAGAATTGACTTTGGGCATCACGCGAAAACTGCTGCAGTGGGATGTCAACCTACAACAACCAACAAATTATTATACTATTATACATTTTACAACTTTTATAAAAAAAACTATTAATTTAACGAAACATAGTGTTTAATTTTTTTTTTGACATTGCTGATAAAAAGGTGCAAACACTATTTTAGTCGCAGCCAATAAATTAAAACCCTTGGGTAAATAACTAGGAGGTTATAGTATCCTTTTTTTAGACTTAAAAACTGCATGGTTATTAGCTAGTTTTTACTGTGGACAATATTCCACACCATTATTTTTAACTTGCAATTCACTATGTCATGCGAGAGGTTCAAAAATAAATCAAAAATGAACTTTGTTTATTTGACATTCGGCAGCCCCATTCCGTTTGTGTGGGGGCTACGGTTGGTAAGCTTTTTTTTATGTCGGGCAGATAGATCGTCGCAAAGAACCCGGGTGGTCACCCATCTGGGAGTCTGCTCGACCGCTGCACACATTACTATATTAGTGATTGCGTCCAATCACCGCGCTTCACCAGATCACCATACAATGAACTCTAATACCAACCACGTTAAATTGTATATTATATGTTCATATATTATTTACCAATTTAAATTCTTGCCAAATGTATCATATTATGTAACATTTGACATATCAACAAATTGTATACAATATTACAATCCTAAATATAGCAATAGTACTGAGTAGTAAAATAAATAATGGTATATGTATACTAGGGTGGCCCTTATTTATGAACTTTCAAATTTTTAATTTCTCACCCTCCCAATTTTTTCATAACCATACAAAAGTTATTTGGGTAAAATTTGGGGATGATTAATAACCCCCTTCAGGTGCCGCAAGAGGGTTGAATATTCATCAAATAGGGTAGTTTTAGGGTTATTCTGATTTAATTCATTATATATTGCGTTTAGCATAAAATTGTATAGGACCTAAATTGTAGATTCAGGTACTCTCTATAAAAAACGTTCAGACAAAGTTTCTCGTAAATCTATTATTTTCTGTAAAAATTAGAATAAAATAAAAATTATTACCTTTTTCTGAAAAAAAAAAAAAAATCGAAATTTTCCATTTATTCTTTATATGATTGCTTTTACTTATTTAATATATCTCTGTTACATGAATGTAACAAAACGTCTATAATAACTGCGTTATCTTACGACTGGATAAGAAATTAAAGAATATCTAATGGATAGGTTAGCTGCATGACACTTTTAATGGGTGTCATTATTTTCAAATGTGTGGTGTAAAAACGGTTCGCACGCCCGCTCGAAGGTTAAATTATATCTTATCTATATTTGTATATTTATATTTGCTAGAAAAAGAGTCTCTTGTCTTACATTGGGATGGAAAACTTCTACCAGATATTACATATGGAAAATCAAAAGTAGATAGGTTACCTGTAATTGTTTCGTTTGAGGGAATAACTCAATTACTTGGTGTGCCAAAGCTCAAAAGTGGTACTGGAGAACAACAAGCAAATGCAATATTTGATATTATAAATGATTGGGGTGTAACAAATAAAGTACAAGCTTTATGTTGTGATACGACGGCATCAAACACGGGTCAGTTAAATGGTGCCTGTATTATATTGGAACAACTGATAGGACGAAATCTTTTATATTTACCTTGTAGGCGACATATATACGAATTAGTGCTAAGAAGTGTTTTTGAAATTAAATTAAAAATAAATACTATTGGTCCTGATGTTCCTATTTTTAAAAAATTCCAACAAGCCTGGCCCGAAATTGACTTAAAAAAGTATGAAATTGGAATAAATGATGCAGTTGTAAAATCTACAGTTGAAACAAATAAATCTCAAATTATAGACTTCTGTTTAAAAAATTTAAAAAAAAAACAATGTAGAGATGATTACAAAGAACTTCTAGAGTTGACTGTTATTTTTTTAGGTGAAAACCCACCAAACAGTATATTTTTTCACTATCCTGGTGCTTTTCACCATGCCAGGTGGATGTCAAAGGCAATTTATTCATTCAAAATATATATGTTTCGAAAACAATTTAAACTTAATGTTCGAGAAGAAAATGCATTTCGAGATATATGTATTTTTCTAATTACGATATACGTAGAAGCATGGTTTAGATGTCCTGCTGCAATTGAAGCACCTTATAACGACTTCATATTTTTAAAAAAATTAATCGAATACCCAGATAAAGCTATTTCTGAAACACCTACACATAAATTTTGTGGACACTTATGGTACCTTGCGCCGGAAAGTATAGCCTTATCATTTTTTGATTTTCGGGTGCCAACCGAAATTAAAATTAAAATGGTGGAAGCACTTAAATCAACCCAGAACAATGATGATACAATTAAAAAAATTGTTTTGAGTAAAGAGGGTATAAAAACATTTATAAAAAAAGAATTACATGAATTTGTATCACCAGAAACAGTCAACTTTTTTTCAAGATTTAAAATTTCAGCTGACTTCATAGATTTCCACCCGGATAATTGGAAAGAAAGGGAAGACTATAAAAAAGGAATTAATATTTTAACAGAGTTATCAGTCATAAATGATGTTGCAGAAAGAGGCGTTAAGTTAATTCAAGAATACAATAGTATACTGACGAAAGATGAAAATCAAAAACAATTTCTATTACAAGTTGTAAATGATTATAGAACAAATTACCCTGACTGTAAAAAAAATACATTAATTCGTTCGTAATTAATAAATATTTTATTTAATCTAATTTTCACATTGTATTACTCCATTGAACCACTTTCTATTTATTTTTAAATGACACCAATATTTATGTACTTGTGTAAATAAACGTTTTTTTTTTTTTAAGATTAATTTTTCCACAGAAATTAATAGATTTACGAGAAACTTTGTCTGAACGTTTTTTATAGAGAGTACCTGAATCTACAATTTAGGTGATATACAATTTTATGCTAAACGCAATATATAATGAATTAAATCAGAATAACCCTAAAACTACCCTATTTGATGAATATTCAACCCTCTTGCGGCACCTGAAGGGGGTTATTAATCATCCCCAAATTTTACCCACATAACTTTTGTATGGTTATGAAAAAATTGGGAGGGTGAGAAATCAAAAATATTTAACTTTCCTTACCCCCCTACTATATAAGGGCCACCCTAATGTATACAGATTAGTGTAAATTGAATCATTTGTTGGTCGTTGACACATCGATAAAATCAAATATTTAAGTAACTTGATCGTCATATTCAAAAGGTGATTTTGAAAGGATTTAATATAGATACTTGTATATTTTAGAAAATTAAGGTTTCGGAAATATAGTAAAAATATATTGTACGGTAGGTACGTTATGTTATTTGGTATTAGTAAGACTTAAACAGTTAACCTAAGACCTAACTATTAATTAATCATAGAAATAATAAACTAGGTATAGGATCATAGTCAAATACAATTTTAATGATTAGAAAATCATGTAAACATTCAAATTAATAATTATGTATATTCGTATAACGTATCTACTATACAGAGTGAGACAGTATATTTGAAAAAAAAAGAAAATTAAATTTGTCTGTTTATGTTCAATTATTACCTAATAATCGTCAGGGATCAAATGTGTACCGATTATTAGGTATTTTTTCATTGCTCAACATTTTAAAAACCCAAAATATATAGATCTATTAAAAATTTGAAATATTATGCAAATAGTATGTATTATAATAATAAAAAAAGGTGGGCAAGTGGGTGTCGCTCTGCTGTACAGTAGGTTACAAGTGGGTCACTGTATAATGGATGGTATTAAATTTGAATTCAATGATATAATATCATTGTATAAGAAAAACGATTCTGAGCGGTGATGGTATGTCAGTCTATGTATAAGGCATATTATATACATATCTATGGTATTAAACAAAAAATTGGGGTCTAGGACATTTCGCCGCCACCGTTTCGCCGCCGGACATTTCGCCGCCACCGATTCGCCGCCGGACGTTTCGCCGCCGACCGATTCGCCGCCGGACGTTTCGCCGCCGGACATTTCGCCACCACCGTTTCGCCGCCGGACATTTCGCCGCCACCGTTTCGCCGCCACCGATTCGCCGCCACCGTTTCGCCGCTAGACCAAAATTCCGACCAACCCTTCGAATTTTGAAAATATATTCACATTTTGTTTATTATAGCAATTTTATTGCATTTTTAATCATATTAAGCAATTACTTATATATGTGTAGTGTACCTAAATCAAGTTTTAAAAACGAAAGGGGTATATGTCGTAAATTAGTAAAGATAAAATATCTATATTCTATGCTTTTATATTAATATATTATACTATAGCCTTTTATCTTATTAAATAATTTATTTCATTGATTATAGTAAGTCGAGGAGGATCTATATTATATTGTTCAGTCGTCTAGTGGTAGACTAATATATTCATATAGTAAACACTATATATAAAGGAATAGGTTTGATGGAAAAGAATTATATTTTTGACTTAGATAGGTAGGTTCATAAAATAAATAACATTCATAGGTGTAAAAAGATTATATACTTAACATAAAAGTTTTTTTATAAATAAAGGTTTGTGGTACAAAATTAGTTTTGAATACACATGTATAATAATTGTGTACAGTGAATAACTATGTAGGTACTTACTACCTACTTAGTTACCTATATTTATAATTAATTCTGTCAGTCTGTTTATGCTTAGTTTAAATCAGAATGCTTCGATCTGCCGACATCAAAAATGCCTTGTTATCATCCTGGGCACATTATAGTATACCTACCATTTTGAAAAAAAATAGTAATTGGAACGTATAGTCAGTAAAAATCATAGATGTTTACATTACAGGACAAGCAATTTAAACAGTAACAAGCCACATTTATA